TTGGGGCGTGAACACAAATATATATAAACATACTGTTGTTGGGGCGTGAACACAAATATATATAAACATACTGTTGTTGGGGCGTGAACACAAATATATATAAACATACTGTTGTTGGGGCGTGAACACACAAATATATAGACATACTGTTGTTGGGGCATGAACACAAATATATAGACATACTGTTGTTGGGGCGTGAACACAAATATATATATAAACATACTGTTGTTGGGGCGTGAACACAAATATATATAAACATACTGTTGTTGGGCATGAACACAAATATATATAAACATACTGTTGTTGGGCATGAACACAAATATATATAAACATACTGTTGTTGGGGCATGAACACAAATATATAAACATACTGTTGTTGGGGCATGAATACAAATAAATAAATATACTGTTTTTGGGCACGAAAACAGCAAATAAATGTACAGTTCAGCATCAGATACACAATAAAAATTATCACTAACTCTACCAACTACATGGGAAATTTTATAGCTATTATTAACTAATATTAATTGTTCAAAGGTAACAGTAATTATGATACTCTTTTTATGTTTAAAAGTCAATATGTATAATTATTGTAACAACCTTGTTGATGTCAGCTTCAACAGAAAGGATACATCTGAGTAAGTAGCAAGAGCAGAATATCAAATGATGACACTCCAAGTGTCATCTACTTCACTGACATCAGCTTCAACAGAAAGGATACATCTAAGTAACAAGAGGAGGTTATCAAATGATAACACTCCAAGTGTCATTTACTTCACAGACATCAGCTTCAACAGAAAGGATACATCTAAGTAAGAAGAGCAGGATATCAAATGACAACACTCCAAGTGTCATCTAGTTCACTGACATCAGCTTCAACAGAAAGGATACATCTAAGTAGCAAGAGCAGGATATCAAATGACAACACTCCAAGTGTCATCTAGTTCACTGACATCAGCTTCAACAGAAAGGATACATCTAAGTAACAAGAGCAGGATATCAAATGACAACACTTCAAGTGTCATTTACTTCACTGACATCAGCTTCAACAGAAAGAATACATCTAAGTAACAAGAGCAGGATATCAAGTGACAACACTTCAAGTGTCATTTACTTCACCGACATCAGCTTCAACAGAAAGGATACATCTAAGTAACAAGAGGAGGTTATCAAATGATAACACTCCAAGTGTCATTTATCTCACCGACATCAGCTTCAACAGAAAGGATACATCTAAGTAACAAGAGCAGGATATCAAGTGACAACACTCCAAGTGTCAACTAATGTTTTTTGTTAATTATAATTCTGTTATTCTCACCTCATTCTGTACCATCCAAACTCTTTCTTTCCTCATCTCATACACAATACCAAAGATGTCGACTGAGTCATACTTATGTAGGTGTTGCAAGATTCTGTCTAGTGCAATGAAAGTTCCTGATCTGCCAACACCAGCACTAGAAAGAAGAACAGATCAATTGTGATTCGATAGTCTTTACAATTAATAAGTAATTATACATAAAACAATTAACAATACAGGAAATAGAAAAAATGCATTTCAAAAATCGTAAGAATGACAGTGTACGTGCCAATTTTTACCAATCTTTCCTGCAATTTCCAGTTGTGTTTTATGATGTGAAATGTTATTATTTAAACTGAATTAAAAATCATGATAGCATTAGTAGAACTAGGAGATCTTACATAATATGCATGCATTAATTTAATTACATTGTTTTTATTTGTGTACAACTGCTGAAGTATTGTTATCTTCAATGATAAAGAATAGATGGAAATCTTGAGACAGATTACCTGCAGTGTACTATAACAGGCTTGGAATCAGGTATGACACGATCCCGGAATGCTCGTACAAACTTAACTAGAGTTATGGGTGGATCTGGAACTCCAAAATCTGGCCAGGTTGTAAAGTGAAAATGACGGACCATTCGTGACTGATCTCCCTGATTGAAGATTACAAATACAGCAAAGAATATAAATTAATATGCTTCAGTAAAGTTCCATATAATAATAGAACACTGACTTCAAGAAAAACTTAATGTATATATATATATATATATATATATATATATTA